CAGATGAGGAGGCTGTGTGTGGCCGCCGGGACCGGCTGGAGCGCGAAGTCCAGGGGGCCTTCCTCCGCTTCATGGCCTGCCTGCTCAAGGGCTACCGGGACTTCCTGCGTCCACTCATCAAGGCGCCCTCTGAGGGGGCTCGCGATGTCGACAACCTCTTCTTCCTGCAGGGTAAAGAGCTTGGGAAGGGCATCACGGGAAGCTGGGGGACTGGGGACCACTCAGTGGCTTGTTTCTTCACTCGGCAGACATCCTTTTTTAAAAAAATATATTTTATTGATTTTTTTACAGAGAGGAAGGGAGAGGGATAGAGAGTTGGAAACATCGATGAGAGAGAAACATCGATCAGCTGCCTCTTGCACATCTCCCACTGGGGATGTGCCCGCAACCAAGGTACATGCCCTTGGCCGGGATCGAACCTGGGACCCTTGAGTCCGCAGGCCGACGCTCTATCCACTGAGCCAAACCGGCTAGATGTCAGCAGACATCTTTATGGGCACCAGCTTTGAGCCGTACACTCTTTTGGGCTTGGAGGGAGGAAGAGCACAAAGGGGAACCGGCTGTGGCCCTGCCCTCTGGGGCCTTGGGTTTGGGGTGAGCCGCCCCCATGGGCAGATCTCTCTTCAGAGACACTGCTTTGGGGAAGCCCCAGAGAGAGGGGGGGGAGTACAGACAGACAAAAGGGGCCATGGTGCTGGGGAGCTGAACCAGTCTGCTTGGAGTGTGGGGTACTGTCAGAGGGGCCAAAGAGATGGTAGCTTCGCTGGGCAGGGGACCAGGACAGGGGCTCACGAGGGGTGTGGCCGCGGTAGGAAGCCGGTAATCTCCTCCCCGCCCCGTTCTCATGCCCTCAGGTTTCCTCAAGTCCCGGGAGCGCTCCAGCCACAAGCTGTACTCGCAGCTGCTGCACACGCAGATGTTCTCGCAGTTCATCGAGGAATGCTCCTTTGGCTCTGCTCGGCACGCTGCCCTCGAATTCTTTGACTCTTGCGTTGATAAGGTTTTGAGCACTGTCCCTTCTCTTCGTGCCCATCGCCCTCTGCTGTCCTCCTGGCTGTCTCTGTGACCCCAGGACCACCATAAACACAGCTCTGTATCTTCTCTGTGACGGTGATGGCACCCCTGGAGTTACTCAGTGCAGAGCCCGTGTCACCACACATGGTGGCTTATATGTACCCCATCTTTCCATTCCTGACGCCATCCCCCCGTTGTATCTCAGGACCTCGGTGAAATCTCAGCGCACTTGCTCCTTCCCCCAGGGTGTGCTTTCCTGGGCGACGCCACCTGCCACCTTCCGGACACGCCGGCTCTGCTCCACACGCCCTTGATGCTCACTCTCTTACCGTCCTGTCCCAGGTCCACCCAGAGCAGGAGAAGCCCGAGGCGACGCCCTTGGTGGAGCTGGAGGAGCTGTCGGGAAGTGAGCTCACTGTCTTCATCACGCCTCCCGAGGAGCCCCCGGTGCCCGAGGGCAGCGAACCCACTCCCCAGTACTGGTGAGCGCCCCTGGCACCCTCGCCGGTTCCGAGGCCACACGGGCTAGCTGAGTGCTGACTGCCTCTGATGTTGCCTCTCTGTCCCTCCAGCTACGATGGATTTCCAGAGCTACGGGCTGAGCTGTTTGAATCTCCCCAAGAGCAAGCGGGGGCTCTGCCTGTGCCTGGCCCGTCCCGTAGTGCCCCGAGCAGTCCTGCTCCTCGCCGTACCAAACAGGTAACCAGCAGGTGCCCGTCAGAGGCAAGGGCTCAGGCTCAGCCAAGGGCTGTCACTTCAGCTTCTTCATCCGTAAAATGTGCATAATAGTACCGATCCCGTAAGGCTGTTGGGAGGGTTACGTCTGCCTGGCCCAGAAAACATTTGGTGTCGTTACCGTTGTCATCATCATTGTCTTCATCTTCTGAGCACTCTGGGAACCGGGGGTGTGTTGCCTCTTCCAGGGCATCTGCCCATCCTCAGGGGCTTGGCCCCTCTGCCCAGGGTTCTGGGGGCTGAAGCCTGTGTGTGCAGCAACCCCCCTGCCTCCTCCAAACACAGCCCCTTCCTCAGGGAGGGGCTGCTTCTCCCATAGCATTTTAAGACCTGCCCTGCCCTGCCGTTGTCCCCTTCCCCATCTAGGAGATGAAGGTCGCACAGCGGATGGCGCAGAAGTCTGCGGCGGTGCCTGAGCTGTGGGCCCGGTGCCTACTGGGGCACTGCTACGGGCTCTGGTTCCTGTGTCTGCCTGCCTACGTGCAGTCAGCGCCCTCCCGGGTGCAGGCACTGCACACGGCCTACCACGTGCTGCGCCAGATGGAGCACCACAAGGTGGTGCTGCCCGATGAGGTGGGTGCCCATGCCCAGTCCCAGGCGTGCTTGTGCCGTCCTGGGTACGATGAGATTCACTGGAGACCTGGGAAGGCAGAAGGGGGCATTGGCACAAGCCCCGGAGGAGTTGCCAGGTGCTTCGTAAGATTCACTGAATGAATGAGCATGACCAGGAACAGCAGCAGGGACGGGAGGGTGGCGGGTCAGCTGGAACAGCGGGCAGCTCTCAGGCAGCCCCGGGAGCTGCCAGGGGCCAGGGAAGTCTGTGAGAACCGGAGAGGCTGGAAGAGGTGCTTGCTGAGACTTTAGGGTTTGGGTTGGGACTCAGTCGCCTCATCCTGTACCTCCCCTGGCCCAGGTGTGTTACCGGGTGCTGATGCAGCTGTGCTCGCACTATGGGCAGCCTGTGCTGTCTGTGCGGGTCATGCTGGAGATGCGGCAGGCAGGCATTGTGCCCAACACGATCACTTATGGCTACTACAACAAGGTACCAAATTTGGGGCTACGGTGGGACAGTGGCATGTGCCAGGTGTGTGCATGGGGCGGAGGCTGCTCCCTGACACCTGCTACCCTCCCCTCTCCTTGGAGATTGGGCCCATATAGTCCAACTAGGTTCTGTAAGCTTTGCTGTCCATGTGCTCCTGTAGGGTCTTAGCACCTACGTTGGGTTTCCGCATGCTTGGCTGCTTTGATATTCACAACTGCGCTGACAAGGGTAGGCAGGTACTGCTACCATCCAATTAAACCTGAGTGTTAGCCGGTGTGCCGGTATACATTTACATCAGCGGTTCTCAACCTTCTGGCCCTTTAAATACAGTTCCTCATATTATGACCCAACCATAAAATTATTTTCGTTGCTACTTCATAATTGTAATGTTGCTACTGTTATGAATCGTAATGTAAATATCTGATATGCAGGATGGTCTTAGGCGACCCCTGTGAAAGGGTCGTTCGACCGCCAAAGGGGTCGCGACCCACAGGTTGAGAACCGCTGGTTTACATAATTTTATCTCCACCATAGTCCCAAGAGGTGGAAGGATTATTATCGCTATCTTACAGACGAGGCAATGAGGTTGCCGAGTTAGTAACTTGTCCAGGGTCCCACAGTGACTAAGTTAGGGAAGTGGGATATGAACACAGGCATATTGATGTCTCCTGAATTCAGGCCCTTGATCATGACACTAAACTGCCTCCTGTTTTTTAGATGAGAAAACTAATGACCAAAGAGTGAAATGGTTTCTTCAAAGCCATATAGTTTAGAAGTAACAGAGTCTGGAAATAAACTGTCTCCCTGCTTCCGGCTTCCTCTACGACCCCCCTGTCAGTAGTGGCCGCTGCCAACTGCCTCTCCCGGTTGAGCCATTGGCAGAACAGTCCCGGGCGGCACGCCTGGAGGGGAAGGCGGTCCCTGGGCTGCAGGACAGGCAGTAGGTGTCAGGCTGGGATCAGTGTGAAAGTAGGCCATCTTGATGGGCACTGTGCTTGGCAGGCTGTGCTGGAGAGTAAGTGGCCATCTGGTACACCTGGTGGGCGCCTGCGCTGGGCCAAGCTTCGGAACATTGTCCTGGGGGCTGCTCAGTTCCGCCAGCCCTTGAAGGAACGGTGGCAGCAGCAGCAGCAGCAGCAGCAGCAACAACAGCAGCAACAGCAGCAGCAGCGGCAGCAGCAGGCGGCAGCACAAGAGGCAGGCAGCTCCCAGACAGGTAGGTAGGGGTTGGAGACACGGGCTTGGGGCTCAGGCAGGGAGAGCTGGGACTGGCCCGTTGTTTGGCACTGGGTGTTCTGGGGATGGATAAACTACACTTGGCTGATAACAAAAGAGATGAAGTTCTACAAAGAACCTTACGAACCCAGGTCTGTGCAAGGAGTTCTGTTTTGGAATAGAAAGCTGGGTGTCGACCTGGCTGCCTTTCAGCCCTCCCTGTGTCTTACAGAGCCCCGCCTGGAGCGCCCCTCCCCTACCCGCCCCCTTCAGCGCCAGACTACTTGGGCTGGGCGCAGCCTGCGGGACCTGGCCTCACCCAAGGGGCGCCTGTTGAAGAGTGGCAGCCTGGGCAGTGCCCGAGAGGCACAACCCACGGTGGAGGCCGGCGTGGCCCACAGTGAGTGCCCTTGACTGACAGCTTTGCTAACCACTTGCCGGTGAGAGAGGAAGACCAGGGCCAGGATGGAGGGGTGGCCCTCCGTGGTGGGGACTGCAGACTCAGGGAATCTTGCCCAGAATGCCGTCACGATAGGGGTTGTGGTGCGAGAGTTTGTGCAGCCAGAAACTGTGTTTACTCGGTCTCTGGAGGAGGGGCTGGGCTGCGTCTTCCCTGACTCTTCTCTGCCCTGCAGTGATGGAGGCCTTGGGGGTACTGGAGTCCCGGGCATCACCTGTGCCCTGGCACGATGGAAGCCTCTCAGACCTGAGCCTGCCTGGGGAGGAGCTGGCAGCTGGAGGCAGTCCAGGGGACTCGGGCTGCGCCCTGAGTACCCAGTCCACTGAAGTCGTGGAAGGGCTAAGTGAGCGTGTGCCCAAGGCTAGTGGGCATCAGGATGAGAGCAGCACCCCCCGGCGAGGGCTGGGTGCCCGCCTCCAACAGCTGCTCACTCCTTCCCGCCGCCGCTCCTCTGTCTCTCGCATTCCCCCACCTGAGCTGCCCCCCGACCTGCCTCCCCCAGCCCACCGCAGCCCCATGGATGGCCTTCTGCACCCCCGGGAGCGCCCTGGATCCACTGCCTCCGAGGTAGCCAGCGAGGGGAAGATCTAGACACTTAAGCACCCAGAGCTGCTGGGGAGGGGCTGCTAATGGGACAGAGCCCGAGAGGGCCCTGAGCGGGGTGGGAGTCCTGGACGGAGAGGGGCACGGGCTGGCTGACCTGCTTTCTCGTGTGGTAGAGCTCAGCCTCTCTGGGCAGTGAGTGGGATCTCTCAGAATCTTCTGTCAGCAGCCTGAGCCTTCGCCGTTCCTCAGAGCGCCTCACCGAAACCCCCGGGACCTCCCAGCCACCTTCCCTGGAAGTGAGGATAACCTCCCACACGGGTGTGCTGGACACGCGCGCGCGCACGCGCACACACACACACACAGACACACACACACACACACACCACACACACACACACACACACCCCCTCTGTCAAGGCAGGGGCTGGGCTGGGATGCGGAGGTGGGAGGGGCTGGGGAAGGAGCCTGAGGCCAAGCAGGGCTTGCTTCCTGGGGTCGTCCTGCCTGCAGATTCTGCTGTCCAGCTGCTCCCTGTGCCGTGCCTGTGACTCGCTGGTATACGATGAGGAGATCATGGCCGGCTGGGCACCTGACGACTCCAACCTCAACACCACCTGCCCCTTCTGCGCTTGCCCCTTCGTGCCCCTGCTCAGTGTCCAGACTGTGGATTCCCGACCCAGGTGCCCAAAGCAGGGCAGATGTTTCGGGTGGGAGAGGGAGGTGGAGGCCCAAGTGCTGAACCCTCCTGCTGTCCCCCTGCAGTGCCCCCAGCCCCCAGCCTGCCCCTGCTGGTGCCAGCGGCAGCAAAGATGCTCCTGTCCCAGGGGGCCCAGGCCCTGTGCTCAGTGACCGCAGGCTCTGCCTTGCCCTGGATGAGCCCCAGCTCTGCAACGGGCACATGGGGGTAAGGGCTGGGCCAGAGGGGCTTGAGGAATGGGTGCGTGTTGCCCTGTGGGGGGCCCCCGGTGATCCTGTCCAGAGATGGGCATTGAGGCCAAGGGTCATCCCAGAAGCTGTTGGACACGTGGAAGCATGGCTCTGAGGATGGGGCATGACACATCCCCTCCCCTGCCCTCCCCATTTGTGCCCAACAGGGTGCCTCCCAGCGAGTCGAGGGTGGGGCATGGGCATACCTGAGCCCCCTGGTGCTGCGTAAGGAGCTGGAGTCGCTGGTAGAGAACGAGGGCAGTGAAGTGCTGGCGTTGCCTGAGCTGCCGGCTGCCCACCCCATCATCTTCTGGAACCTCCTGTGGTATTTCCAGAGGCTGCGCCTGCCCAGTATTTTGCCATGCCTGGTGCTCGCCTCCTGCAATGGTCCCCCAGCCCCCCAGGTCAGTGCCCTCCGGGGGTTCCCTGTTCCCGAGTGTCTGCCTCAGTCCTCGGTGTCCTTGGTGCTGTAGAAAGAGCACATGCTTTGGAGTCGGGCGTACTTGGTCTTTCCTTCCCACCCTGTCACTTCACTACGGAGCCTGGGTTTTCTCATCTATGAAATGGCATGAGTGTTCCCCCGACAGGGCTGCTGTTAGACCCCTTGTGTGATGCCCAGACGGGTTCATTAATGTTTGTCTCCTCCTTTCACCGATATTTATTGAGCACAGGCACAGTGCTTAGGCACAGGGATACAGCAGATTACAGAACACAGTCCTTGCTCTCAGAGAGCCTGTGTTCTCCTGGGCGTGAGAGTTCCTTTCCCTCTTCTCTTTGGCTATGTCCTGTGATGTCCCTGTGTGTCTTGGAACATCGTCTGCCCGTGTCCTATCTTCCATGAGCCTCACTGTCTCCTTTTTCTTGGCCTCCTGCAGGCCCCATCTCCTTGTCTAGTGCCTGACCCAGCCTCTGTGCAGGTGCGCCTGCTGTGGGATGTTCTGACCCCTGACCCCAATAGTTGCCCGCCTCTCTATGTGCTCTGGAGGGTCCACAGTGAGTCTGGTATTTGGCCTAGGGTGGGAAGGGGTGGGTCCCACACCCAGAGGACTCAGTAATCCTGCTGACCTTCCTTTCTTTCACCCAGGCCAGATCCCCCAGCGGGTGGCATGGCCAGGCCCTGTACCTCCATCCCTGAGCCTGCATTTGCTGGAGTCGGTGCTGCGTTATGTTGGTCTCGACGAAGTGCACAAGGCTATAGGGCTCCTGCTAGAAATTTTAGGGCCCCCTCCCACAGGCCTGCACCTACAGAGGTATGGGGGCTCCCGTCTGGAAGTTTGCTGGCCTGTACCAGACTCTGTATCCCCTTTTGCTCACTCATGCCCTTCTGCCTCCACTTCAGGGGCATCTACCGTGAGATCTATTTCCTGACGATAGCTGCTTTGGGCAAGGACCACATGAAAACAGGTGAGGGTGCAGGCAGAGGGCTGAAGAGGTTAGGGATCTGGGGCCCGGTGTGGGCGGTTGGAATCCTTATGTATTGACCTGCCTTCCACCTCTCCCCTAGTGCACTTCGACAAGCGGTACAAGTCTGCCTTTAACAAACTGGCCAGCAGCATGGGCAAGGAGGAGCTGAGGCAGCGGCGGGCACAGATGCCCACCCCGAAGGCCATTGATTGCCGAAAATGTTTCGGAGCATTTCTGGAATGCTAGGGACCCCGAAGCTTCCCCCTCCAGCCTGGAGTGGGGAGGTGGAGGAGAAAGGGTTCTAGCGATCATCTGCTTCCCTGTTCCTTTCATAGAGGAGTTGGGAAACGGGCCAGGAGACATGCCCCAGCCATAGGCTCCAAGTGGGGACAGCAGGAAGGGGGACCCAGTATTACCAAAAGTCACAGTTCGCTGTCTCCAACCTGCCCAACGTGCTCATGCTGACATTGGAGGAGGCCTGGCGACCTTTGGCACAGCTCTGTTTCGCCCCATCCTATACTAGGAGCTCCCCTCCAGTTACCCACAGATCTGCTCTACCCCGGTCATTTTATAAGTTTTTGTTTTAAAAAACAACTGGAAAGATACAGAGCCACTGAGCCTTTGCCTTGAATGGGAGGGAGGACCATCATTCCCCATCAAGGATGGCCCCTCTTTGCTAGAATTGCTGAAGGCGTCCAAGGCTCTCCATGCCTTTCTACCTTAGAATTTGTATTTTAAGTTATTTATTCTGGAGCCACCGCCCCCTTGCGTATGAAGTTATTATGGATGGTGGAAAAGAGAAGGGGAATGGGGTCCTACGGTGCAGTGCTTTGTAGCACCTTAAATTTCAAGAGGTGGGAACTGGAGGAGTCCCAAGGTCTCCTTAGGAAGTATTGATGCCCCCACTAAGTCCTAATCCTTCTTGTCCTCTCCACCTGGGGAATGCATCACCCACCCAGGGCCCTGACTGTGCAATAAGGATTGTTCCTTGCAAAGTTTTGTTGGATGTAAATATAGTAAAAGCTGCTTCTGTTTTTTTTTTTTTCTTCTGCCTCCTGTTTTCTGGGTCTGGGATAATGGTGGGGGATACCTCCCCTTTTCCCCTGGCTGTACATCCTCCCTTCCACCTTTCCATCTCTCGCAGCCTTCAGATACACATGGCTTTCCCCGACCAGGTCTGCTACCGGTCCCTTGAGGCACAGGGAGTTCTCAGAGCAGGAGAGGGGTGAATCCGGTGCTGGCTGTGGTGATGCCAGTTTGTGCGGCACTTCCGGCCCTCCCGCACAATCACCCCCTTGTCCCTCATCTGTCTGCCCACACAAAGACTCCATTCTCTGGGGGCCCTGAGCTCATCTCTGCCTTCTTTCTTCGCCCCCAGCTTATCCCCTTCCAACTTCTCCAGCACCTCCACAGGGATGACAGCGCTCTCCCCGATCGCTGGTGTTGGTGGCCCTCATGCACCTTGGGAGCCCTGGCGGTTATCCTAGGCCTCCTTGGTGGCTCCAGCTGGAGGAAGTGCTTTTCCAACCAGGGTCTCAGTCCGGGGACAGTGCCAGGAAGATGGGGACCAGGATTAAGTGGCTCACCGCATGTGGGCATCAGAGAGACAGGCTTCGCTTTTCTAATCCCTCTGGCCTACTTGGAGTTCTCCCTGCCTTTCGTGTGTAATGAAATAGACACAGAAGCAACTCCAAACAGAGATGCAAAACAAATTACCAAAGGGAATTAGCCAACAAAACAGAAATGCCTTAGGGAAGGCGGGTGTGAGTGTCAGTGGAGGAAATAACTTACATGAGCCTTTCGTGCACATTCCTTGGGGTGAGATCAGTGGATGAAAAGTACTATTTCTGAATCCTGGGACCTTCAAGCCAGAGGACCCTTCACCATCCTGTCTTGAGCTTGGCAAAGAAACTGCACAGGAGGAAAGCCGGGGCTTAGGACATGCCATCTGTTTTGCCAGGGACTAGGAGATGCCTTCTTTAGAGGGAACCCTCATGTCATGCCAGGTTCTGATCAGACCTCATTCTCCAAAATCAACCTCTGCCTGTATCATCCTCAGGGACCCTCTGCAATGGAGCCACTGCCTTTCTGAAATCATAAGTTTCTGTTGAGTGTAATGTGCCTAGTAATATGCTAAACCAACTGACATTGGAGAGATTTTTAGGGCGCAGTCCCTACTTTAATAGACCGTATAATCTTACTGGTCTAGAGGGCCTCTTGGTTCACAAACAATAATGCTAATCAACCCTGCCTCCAGCTTCTGTTTCTCATGTTGGGGCTTCCTTTTAGAGGTCTAGAGTCAGATGTTCAGAACTATAGAATTCTTCAACCACAAGAATATCTGAGAATTCCAGGAATAAAGTAATCATCATGGCATCTGATATCTTCTCTGTCCTGTGGGTTAGGGAACTGTAGGAGGGAAAGGATATGCACATAGAACCTGGCCCAATTTCTCTTCCCAGACTATTTCTGTGGTTGTTGTTAATCCTCACCCGAGGATAATTTTCCCACTGACTTTTAGGGAAAGTAGGAGACAGAGGGAAAGATAGAAACATCGATGTGAGAGAAACACATCCATTGGTTGCCTTCTGCATGAGCCCCAACCGGGGCCCAGGCCAGGGAGAAGCCTGCTACCAAGGTACATGCCCTTGACCAGAATCGAACCCCAGAGCCTTTGGTCCACAGGCCACGTTCGGTCTATCCACAGCCAAACAAAACCGGCTAGGGTTATCTTCCCAGACTTTGAAGTTTATAGGCTCCAGTATGAAAAACTGTAGTTAAATCTTGTCTCTGCCACTTACTAATTTTATTACATCTGACAAGTTATTTAACTGCTATGCCTCAGTTTTTCCTCATCTGCAAATTGGGGATGTTGTTTAAAGATTAATTGTGTAAATCCATATGAAATTAATAAATGTTAGCTTCAAAAAGAAAATGAACAGAGACTGCATAGGGCAAAGGTCATGTCCATTACAACAGTGGCCTCACTTACTTGTCTTCCTTGGAACTTGATTATTCCAGATTGAAAGTCCCCCTCCAATGGCCTGATTTTTAATTTTGCTAGAAGGCATTTTCTCAGGACTCACTCGTATCTTCTTTGGGCTGGTATCCACCAACATATTTCTGTTGTCTCCTCACAGCCCTTGAAGAATGGCCCTTCAGATACAGAGCATGCATTGGACTGATCATGGTTTAAGCAGGTTAGGGAAGAGGACTGACTATACCTTCCATGAGGGCAGTGACCATCTCATTTACTGTTATAGCCCCAGCACATAAGAGTGCCTGATGACATAATAGGTCCTTTATCATGTGTACTAATAACAGTGAAAGCATTAAAATTAGGGGGCCAGTAGAGAAATAATTTTCAGTTCAGTACAAGACTACTACCAATAGACTACCAACAGAAGCTGAATTTTGAACTAAGAGGGTGAATGAAATTCTTGGAAAAGTGAGGAAACCCATAAGTTACTATTTATGTTTATCAAGCACTTACTGTATTCTTAGCACTGTCCTGAGCATTTTATAATATATTTTTGATTTCAGAGAGAGAGGGAGAGACAGAAACATCAGTGATGAGAATCATTGATCGGCTGCCTCCTACACACCCCATAATGGGAATTAAACCCTGACCTCCTGGTTCATAGGTCAATACTCAACTACAGAGCTACACCGGTCAGGCTGTCCTGAGCATTTTAAATGGACTATTTTATAATCATCACAATTACCCTATGAGCTCAGTACTCTTATCAGTCATTCCCATTTTTACAGACAGGGAAACTAAAGCATCCTATATAATAAGAGCTAATATGCAAATGGTTGTCATGCCCTCACGCTGGAGCTGGGGGACCTGAGGCTGCCCGCCCCCCCAGCCCTGCAGGGCTTGACTGGGGTGGGGCCAGCTGGGTCTGGGTCTCGGGTGATTTCGAGGTGCATGCGGGTGGGCAGGGACTTGACTCTGGGTTCTATGGCGCACCCCAGACTCTGAAAGGCGGGAGATTTTCATATACATTTTACTAATTTTCTTTCATCTCTGACACTTCTATTATAGTGAAAGGGCAAATAGCAATATTAAAATATTTCTTCTAATTAATTCCCTTTTAATGTGCACGAATTTTGTGCACCGGGCCACTAGCAGAGAATATAAATTAACTTGCTCCCAAATCACACAACTGGTAAGAGGTACAGCAAAGATCCAAACCCAAGTAGTCTAACTCCAGAGACCATATTCTTTACCTGGACACTATACTAGGATGAAACAAGGTTTCTTACCCACTTAAAACAGGAATTGGGGCATGCCTCTGCATGTGCATGCGTGTGTGTTCAGGGTCCTTCATTCGTGTATGGCCATGTCCTTCATTAGTTTAATTTCCAGTGCAGAGCATGACTTTTAAATAATTTGAAGAACATGTTCTAGTGCTTCTGGAATCAGTTGTTTCTGGGCTCAAAGCACTGCATAGTCACTAATTAGCTGTCTGGCCTTTGCAAGTTAACCTTTCTGGGCCTGTTTTTTGATCTATTTGTATTCAAATTTCAGCTCTGCCACTTAGCATTTTTAACTTTGTAGCTCCTTCCTCCTCGTCTGTAAAAATGAGGATAATAATTACTCCACAGTTACGAGAAGGTAACCCATGTAAAGCTCTTAAAAGAATAAATAACGCATATACAGCTCAGTCTCTTTCCCAAAAAGTTAGCTATTATAATTCCCTTAGCACATTCTGATACTTGTTGCTTCTCACCGAGGTGCTCGAGAAATGCTAAGAAAGTTCAGGTGGGTCTAACAGCTTCCGGGAATAGCAAGAGGAGCTGGGCCTGGAGTTGATTAGGGGTAAGGAGGCCGTTTCCTTCACTGTGAACCTAACCAGACAAGATCCCGAGAGAAGGAGCTAGGAGGGCTTTGCACACCGTAATTTCTCGGCAATTTGGCTGGCTGCCTTTTATTTCTGCTGTCGTGGTTTGGTCACGACAGGGCCATGCTGGGGTACGATGAAGACTAGGAAGCTCAAGGCCTTTGGCAGGCGGAGACAGGCCACGCCCCAAATAGACAGCAAGGCCCAAGCGCCTAAAGCTACTTCTATCGTGAAATTCATGGGTTTTCTCGGCATGAAACACCACCTAACGCAGAGCCCAGCGCCGTTCACCAGTTTCCATCTTTAGAATTGGAAGAATGAGAACTAGCCAAAGGGGAATCCCGGTTTTGGGAGCCTGGGGTACGGCGGCTGCCTGGGGACCAAAACGTCTCCAAGGTAAAGTTGCAGCCTGAAGCGATTTTTTGACCCCCGACACTTAATGGACTGCTGAAGACCCGGATGTGTCTGGGACTGGTCGAGGTACCCATTAACGCGCCCCCGCTAGACCATCCCCCTCCTCCGTTTAGGATTGGGTTTCAGGTACGCCAATCATCACTTCGCCAGCCACTCACTCCTCAAGGGTGGGGTGTAGTCCCGGCATCCCCTCTCTTATTGGTATGGCCTAGAAGAAGAGGGCGGGGAGGCCGGCTTAGGTTGCCCAATGGGCGTCGTGGCGTGTGGGGAAGGCGGAGCCG